TTTCTCTCTCAATGTTTAGCCATCATTGTGTTGTGGGTTTCTTTGAAGTAAAAAGGTTTTAGTTTTCATTATACCCTGTTTATCTAATATTTTCTTTTATCTTTTGTGCTTTTTTTTTGTCTCATCATACCTGAAAATGCACGTTTAGGAAATTTTTCTTTATTTGTCTTCTTAAGAATTCTATAGTTTCTTACGTTTAGTTCTTTGATCCATTTTGGGTTCGTTGTTGTATATGCTGTGAGGAGAGGCTCCATATTCAGTTTTTCTATGTGGATATTTAAATTGTTCTTAAAAAGACCATTCTTTCTCATTAGGTTGTCTTCATACTCTCATCAAAAATCAGCTGACTGTAAATACAGCGTTTGTTTCTGGATTCCCAGGTACGCTCCCAGCTCCTGTTAGCCCTGCCACACTACTGGATTTGGGGGTATTTTGCAGTGGAAAAGTGGAACCCTGATCTGTACTTCCATTTGAAGATTTGTTGGCTACTTTGTCTTTGGCACATTTCTATATGATTATGAAGAACAGCTTGCCAATTTCTGCAAAAGCCAGCTGGAATTGCATATATAATTCTAAAAAGTTATATTATTATTAACCTTAAAGTACATACTTCCTGCAAAAGGGATAAATCTGTCCTTATAACTTCACAAAGATTTATGCTGGGTAAGATTTACTGCAATGACTGAGCAGCTGTGGGAGAAGCCGGGTCTCATGTACGAGCAGTTCCTGAGCTTGCTACAGCACTGCAGCACAACACACAGCTGACATTCCGTCAACTCAAGAGGAAGCATCTGCGACAGCCACATGCAGAAACAGCTCTGGAGAGGCTCTGAGCAAGGCAGCGGCGGCACGGGCATGTGCACGCATGTGGCACGGTCAGAAAGATGGCCACTCTGGCCACCTTGGGTTGATGACACAAAATGACTCAAACATGACCAAAAAAATCAGGTTTTGAATGTTTCTGTGTTTGCCTTTTAAAGACTGTTTTACATGCTGACCAGAACCTATGGCTGCACTAGAGAATGGGCACTTGAGATGGGAGGAGTGCATACTTTTAAGGAAGTTGTAAGGCTCAACATTTAAAGAAGGCTGGTGGGAAAATTGTTAACAGAAAAATCCAATGTAGCTTCAAAATATCAATAAGAGGAAAGTAATTACAGCACCTGAGATGACCAGGAACATGTTTGTAACCGTTTTCATTTTGGTGGGCGGCCCAGCCAAATGTCCTAACTGGACTGTTCATATCTAACAAGCAGCCATGTCCTACCCATGCTGGTACAGTGGCTGCTTACAAATGTCTCAGGACTTTTGGGGATGGCAGGCAATCATGATGTCTCTTAAGTGGCCGTCCATCTGGGCTGTCACTTGTAATATTCCTGCCTCAGCCTCCCAAAGTGCTGAGATTGTAGGTGTGCACACGATGCCGAGCTCCTTGGGGGTGCTTGACTTAGTGCTGCATTGAGCCTCATGTGTTCATTTGCTTATTCAATTGATTTATTCACTGATGCAAATTGTTACTAAAACTCCAATTTGATTCAGTGCCTAGCCAGCATTTATAACACAATGTGGAAATACTTATAATTAGGGCTCTAGAGACTTTGGATAAGGGGAAGCCAGTTGGGGGAGGCTCTCTGTCAACTAGGCTGCAGACAGAGACCAGACAGGCTGAGTGTGGGACAGCGCTCCGACCTGGCCACCCGCAGCGTGAGCTGCTGGCCATCTCCTGTCTCCCAGGAAACCACAGGACCAGCCGTGCTGCACCGGACCCAGTGGTGCACAGGCAGCGCAGAGTGGTAAACAGTGGGATTAGGAGGGATTTTGTGTGCCCTTCTAAGATTAAAGCTGAATCTTCGGCACTCCATTGCAAATCGTGTGCAAATGTTAGGTCGTGAAGTTTGCTTGAGAAACCCTTCACCCACAGCGAGGAGGACCAGAGAAGAGGACTGAGGCTGGAAGACACAGGACACGGGGTCTGGCTGGGGACCGCAGCTGAGCAGCAGTGACAGGCAAGTAAGTAACACAGATATGACACAGGAAGGCAGCCAGCAAGATGTGTTGCTGGCCACACAGGGACCTGCAGGGGAGCCTGGATGTGAAGCCATTCATCTATCATAATGGGGTGAGTGCATCTCCTGAATTACACTCGGTCACCAGGGTGCACCAGGCCCAGGAGCCGTTGCTGTTGCACCAGGTGAGCACACGATGAAGGCAGTGTGCTGGACTTCCCCAAAACAGCAGCTCCTGGCACCCTGCTCGCAGACCCTGCCCAGAAGAACAGTGAGAAATACATGTGCTTCTGCACCACAGGCCCATGTCTCTCTGTGGTAGTACCTGGAACTAAGAAATCAGCTATGATTAACTTTCCCCTCCCGTAGAATGTAAAGGATGATCTATTTGCAATTGTTTGCTCCACTGATAGACTGTTAGCAGAAGATACAGGACGCTACCCTATGGCTTTGGAGTCAAGGTTCCTGCAGGAAGTGCACAGCCTGCGTCGTCTGTCTTTCCTCCAGTCAACTCCACGGCTGAGTCTCTGCTTGTGGAGAACAGCAGGAAACCCACAGCCCCTTTGCACTGCTCTGTGCATGCTGTCCAGGGGCAGATAAGGAGTACTAGGTGGGAGAGGGTGGAGGCACAGAAAGGGGAAGGTAGGCACAAGCGGGGAAGGTAGGCACAAGTGCCCGTCTTGGAGATGAAGTGTTCCTTTCTTCCTCTTATGACTTTCACTATGCAGTACTGGCCGCTGGTGCCTTGGGACTTCTGAGGAGCTGGTCACATGTGGTAGGGATGCATAACTGCTTCTCTGTTCTAGTAATCAGTTACTCTCTGAATAACTGGTCAGAAAGCAGCCTGTTCTCACACTCCTGCTGCCTGGCAGTAGTGCATGGGATCACTGCCTTTGTAGAATCTTTTCTTGCGAATGACATTTCATAAGGAAACAAAAATTAATATTAAAATAATAAAAGGACAAGTGTGTTTCATTCAGTGATAGATGCACTGGAGTAAACACCATTACAAGGGCACCTACTGCAGGACTCCATCCTGCTTATGATGTTAGCAAGAGCGGTAAACCACCACCTGCTCTGCATTTTGTGGGAAGCATTGTTAAGCTCCATCTGGGACTGTGTAAGTCTGGGACAAAAGTAGGACAAGTGGATGGAAATAAAGCAGAACACATACATTTAGTTTATTGGCTCAGTATGCACTGTCAGGCAGGGTCAGACAGCAAGATGTGGACCACCACTGGAGGCCTAGTCTGAAGAAGGTGTGGCTCAGCATCCGACACCTCAGGCAGCTGAAGGCAGAGGACCAAGTTGAAGACTTCAGCCCTGCAATGGGTACAGATGAGCCACACCTTGAAGGTAAAGCTTCAATCTCTACATCAAACCAAATTCTACTCACTCCACTGCATACTTGCTATTGAAAATGAGGATAGGAGTAGAGAGGCATGGGTTCCTCATGCCGAGATTCAGAGAACTGTCACAAAGCCCATCACTAAGCATTTCCAAATCACGGCTTCAAAATCAAGTACTATTTATTAAAAGTCAAGGCTAAGGTCAGCAGCAGGGGGTTGGGCCACACTGTTACCATGCATGGGAAAGAGGGGGTGAGGCAGACTAAGGCCCTATCTGCCATAGGAGTGACCCCCTTTCTAAGCCTTCAGAAAGAGCAGCGCACCTCACTTGGTACTTGTCAGTCACTGGTCTGCGGAGGGATAACATGCTGCAGAAATGAGTATCAGACAGGTTGTTTCTGCTGGAAGGTGTGGCAGCCGACACTCACAGGCCCAGCTTTCAGGGAGGACCAAGTGCACCAGGACAAATGCTTACATCAGCGCACAGCACCAAACTGCACGAGTTAGGAAGCAGGCAAGTGCCAAGGTATGACTGTAGAGTTCTGGGTAGTGAGTATCAAGGCAACGCAAACCACGCTCATTTTCATAGAGTCCAAAAGAAACATCTTACACTCACACTTAGTTTCTCCCCAAAATAGCCATCTCTTTTATTTGAGGGTTCAGTACATTTTTAATTCAAATAGTCACCACAAAACCTAGGCACAATATTAAGCATTTTACAAGCAAAGTATTTCACTGATTTTTCTTTCCAACTGCCAAAGAGTATAATAAATGAACTGGTTAAAGGATATACTTCTGTACATTAAAAAAAAATCCATGTATTTATACAAGTGTATGGAACAGAGTTTAAGGGTACTAAACCATAACATCAAAATAAATAGGATGTATTCCTACCTCACAACGCAGCATACTGTGCTGGAAAGCGGACTCTGTTTTACCCAGGTGAAATGTCTTCGGAGCTAGGCTCATTTCCTCCAAAATGGTTTGGCTGGCAATGATCGGAGCTGAATATCTACTCTTCATAGGTGGCTTTTTGCTTGCATTTGAATTAGGATAATTATGTCCCAAAAAGTGTTTGTGACTTACCATTTCTATCGATTTCCCACTTCCATATTTTAAAACATAGATTCAACTACTCTCTAGCACCATACAAGAAGGAAATACATGTATTTTTGTCAGAGCAACAATATTTTATATCATCTTTGTTCTCTGGCTATAACAATTCTGCTTAGAAAAAATTTGCCACACTAAAAATAGTTGATCTAGGTTGTCATAAAAAGAATATTAAATACCTTTGGTAAAAATAGATATATTTAACAAGATTAGAAAAGCCAACAGTTATAATGTCAAAAAGAGAGTATGAAAATGTACACAATAAAACAAATAAACCAACTTAGAGGTAAGTGAAGATAAGGCCACTCTTCTTTTCTGGTTTGTCTCTTCAAACCAAGAACATAGTTCTCTTCTAAATGGCAGACATTTTAATAAGAAATATGGAACAACCGGTTCTTTCCCATCAGCGCGACACCAGGATAACTCAGCAATGTAGTTCCTCTCGAAAAACCAAGTTCATAGAATATTCAGATTTATATCTGTAAAAATAAGGCAAAAAAATTTCCAGATTTCCCATGACTTCAGGCCCAAAACACGGAGCTTTAGAGCTAAGCAGAGCAACAGAACACGGTGTTCTCTTGCATGGTCTTTCTTTTACTGACATTAACTTAAGCCCCATCAAAGCAGCTGCAATATAGAGCACGGCTAGCAGGGCCGGACACCCGGACTCGGGCCTCGCTCGTGACCTCCACCCTCAGTCCCTCTCCACGCAGGCGCCCTCTCAGGCCTCCAGGCCGCGCTCTGCTCCAAGGCACCAGCTCCAGGGGCGTCTCCCTTCAGGACGCACGGCGCGGCCTGCAGACCTGGACTGGGCTGTGGGTGTGCTAAGGCCTGAGTTCCGGAGCAGGATGCACCGCGCCTGGCTGCGGGGGCGCGCTGGCCCGGCGCCGTCAGCCCCCCGCGTTCCCTCGGCAGATGCAGCCGCACTCCTCGTGGTGCTCCAAGGCAACGTCGGTGAGGGACTTGTGCAGCCCGCGGACCCCAGTCTTTGGTCTCAGCTGCAGGACCTGAAAGGGAAGGAGGCAAAGCACCTTGCAATCAATGTCCGTAACACTGATGTCGCAAGCAGACAACACTGGAGAAGAACCTCGGGGCCCTGCAGGGCCCCACACCCAGTGCTTCCACGTGAAGGCATTGTGTGCACTCTTCTACGCACACTCAGTGACGGACTGTCACCTTCGCTTCATTAAAGAAACCACACTCCCGTGCCCAGCCATCCGGAAGCACACACGCTCAGCACAAGGGCAGTCCTCGCCCCCGGGGCTGGCTGCGCGCTGGGGTGCTGGCGCTAGCGCGCAGATCGCTTTCCTGCTCGTTGGTTTCTTCCTTTCCTTCATTTACTCACGCATTCACCAAATATTTAACCCTGAAGCAGTCCAGTCCAGTCCAGGAATACCACGCAAAGAAACACGATCGCTGCACAGCTGAGTTTGCTCAATTACGCCACTCATTAATTTTCTTGGCACCGTTTCAAGCCCTCTATAAACCTGATGGGACGGATTAGATGTACTGCATTGACATGGAACGCCGGCCCAGCTCGCTCTCTGCAGCTGGACTCTCCTGCGCGGCATGAGGAGCTCTGGTAACACCAACAATGATGCCTCTCTTAAATGAAGGCATTTGCAGTTTGCATGGCTGTGCAAGTGTGATACATTTTATTTCCTAATAGAGCTCATCATACTTTAGAAATTATGTCTTGTTAGGCTTGTGAAAAGAAACCAGGACACATAAAATGAAACTGCTTAGCTTCTCTGCTTGCTGGGTGTGACACAGAAAGCTTAATGAAGTGACTCTGAAAGGCGACCCACCACCCGCACACACTTACGTGAACACGCAAAGGTGCAAGTCAAGTCCTGTGTGTGTTCTGTTTGAAGCCTTACAGGAGGAGAAGACGGAACACACACCTCATTTGCAGCTTGTGGGGCTACCGGTGCTTAATTAGCTAGCATTTTCTGAATACTTATGAAATGCCAGACACAGTAATAATGTGTTGCACATACTGTAACTCACAAGAACTGTATGAAATAATTCAGTTATTATCCCTATTTTACACATGAGTGAACACAGACTTAGAGTGACACAGTTATTTGTACCTGGGCCAAATACAAATTATTAAGTTATTAAGAGTGAGAAAATATTTTTATAAAGGTTCAGAATGTTACTATTCATTCTACCTTTTTTAGTAACTTTGTCCTAGACAGAAAGACTTCAGAGATACAACTTAAAATTAGTAAACTTGATGAGTAGGCTTCCTGTCTATCAGACCTCATAGCTCTAGAATGAAAATTACGCAGACACTAGAGTTTCCGCAAGGTGGAGCTGACCATGAGTACTGCTGAACGCTCTGTGAACAGCCCTGATTGAGGCTTCTTTAGGGTAATTGTTTGTTTTGAGGTGGGATTTCACTGTGCTGTTCAGCCAGGCCTTACACTCACTTATCTAGCCCAGGCTGGCCTTCAACTCGCAGAGCTCCTCTTGCCTCAGCCTCCAGAGTACTGTTCCCAGGCGTGCACCACCATGCCCGCCAGCACTGACCTAGCTTTGGACTGCTACACAGCCATGTGAACAAGGACATCTCAGACCCTGGTGCTGCTCCTTCCCACCCGCTCCTGTGGGCCGCGCTCCTGGAATGGAGGTGGGTGGGTGAGGTGAAGCACAATAAGGACACAGCTGACGTCTTCAGTTGCTATCCCCACCTGTGTGTGTTTCTTCATTCAGCAAGGAAAACACTGGTAAGAAAGGCAGTGAGAAGCTGCCACTGAGGGGAGCCCAGCTGAGAGTGGGCCCGCCCTCCTGGTCCTGCCATCCACTCCTGCCAGTTGGGTTTGCTGAATAAGCCTCTGCGCGACTCCACACACTCATGGCAGCTCTGTCCGCTGTTCTTCGTGGCAATGTATGAGGAGCAGATCAGTCTCCTAGTGCTTGAGTAACTGGAGAAGTCTTCGGTGAGGTAGTCTAACCCATGGTGGGCGGTGTTATGAGTGCTTTCCTTTGTAATGTTTTGGAAAGTTTGGATTTTGGAGAGATGAAGCAGGCTTGGAAAATGACCAGTAGCTCTTGGGTAATATGAAAGAGGAAAACTGCATTTTCAGGATGTGGATTAAAAAGGGAATCAGGCAGAAGCAAGGCACACAAATCTCTGAGTAAAGACTTAGGTGTGACATAAACTTATAAAGAAAATTGACTCAGATTTTCATATTAAAATTACCAGGTAGATGAAAAAAAAAATGCCCAGGAAATTTCCAGTGAGAACCTGAGAACGGATGGGACAGAGCAAGAATTCCCAAGGAGACTGCACAGCGGGCACAGGACAACCCTACCCCTGCAGGAACTCAAGCACTGGAAGGGACCAGGGCCAGAACGGTGCAGCTGCAGGGTTCAAATGTTCCTACCGGCAAGTGGATCTGAGCATCACTAGGTAAGACTTCCTTAGCTGCTGCAAAACACATTAGGCCTAAAAAGATACACCTAAGATAAAAATCATTAGCCTAGCTAAGAACAGAGGAGGTGGCTCCAGGGTTTCCTCATTGCCAGAGACCTTCTGACCCAAAGAATGTTTCTCCTTCCTCTGGCCAGAGTGCATCAGATCATTACTGACCATGCGCCCACCACACCTGCAGATGGGGAAACAACACTAGCAAGAGAACGGCTGACACCGCGCGGCTTGCCATGCTCCGGGCCTGGGTCGAAGCTTCCTGTGTGTTCTATGGGCTCCCTGAGCCCTCACTATTCCATGTGAGCAAGCTCAGTCACCGAGTGGCATGAGTCCCAGCCGCCTAGCTAAGATGCGCTACATTCAACTGGGCAGTCTCCGCCTGGAGTTTGTGTTCTCAAGCGATACAATGGATCGTGATCCTTGTTTTCTTTAGCTCTCACTTTGGTAGGAAAAAAAGAAAAAGAAAAACAGGCCCTGGCGTGACGTCATGCACTTTTGCTCCTGTGGTTCTCCTTTTGGTGCAGGGAAGTGCCGAGGGTAGGGTGTCCTCGCGCGAGGCTGGAAGGGCCCTAAAATTCATTTCAAGGGAAGACACACAAGCTTACACACAAAGTGCCGGATTCTCTTTCTCAAAAACTACTTAGGAGGTAGAGAAATGATTGAGGAAATGTATTTTGCTGACTAAAATGTCTCTAACAAAGGGATCCAGCCATTGATACAAAAGCAATATGAATCTTACAAATAACTTTATGTAATAATATTATGTTATAGCTTGGTAACATATTGGATGAGACTTTTAATTTTCACAGTTATTCAAGTCTCCTTATAGTTTGTGTCTAGTTGGCTCCCTAAAACCTCATGTAGGTCTTGGGGCACACACAGCTGGGAGGGGCAGCGGGTGGCTTGAAGGGCGGGGCCAGAGGACCAGGGCGGGGCCTGAGGATGGGGGTGCGGTCAGAAGGTGGGGCCAGGGGCGGGGCCAGAGGATCAGGGCGGGGCCTGAGGATGGGGTGTGGTCAGAAGGCGGGGCCAGTGGACCAGGGCGGGGCCAGGGCGGGGCCAGAGAGCCACGAACTGTTAAGCTGGCCAACCTGTGCTGTCTGAGAGGTGGAGAGGGTCATCCTGGACACGGCAGCGCCCCGGTCTCTCCTCCAGTGTCTTGAAACCTGCAGGAACTGTGAGCTAAATAAACGTTTCCTTCCCTCATTTTGAGCATCAGGTATTTGTCCCAGCAACGAGAGAACAGTGGCTAATACAACCCTCAGGTTTATGGAAGCTGGCAAAGCAATAAAACAGATGAAGGGGCCCCTTCTGAATTCTGTCTGTGCTCCTGCTCTTCCCACAAAGGGGAGGAAACATTCAGTTAGTAAACTGGGAAAACTAATGAAAAATGAAAGCCCAACATACAGACTTGTCTCTGAATGAACTAATTCCGCGGATCTACATTAGTGGTGTTGAATTATTTAATCATTTTGAATAATTTTAATTTATGATGAAAACAATTTTGTTTATTTACTAGTGATACTCGACTTGAACTGCAACGTACAGGAATGAAAACAATTTAGGCCTTTGAAATTCTCAACTATGTCAACAAATAGCACTTCCTTCATAAGATCAGTGTACTAAAACACTACCACAGCACAATCGAGGACTCCCGAAATATCGGGACATTATATTTACTGAAAATACAGGCCCCGGGAAGATAGCTCAGCTGCACGAGCACCTGCCTGGCAAGCGCAAGATCCTGAGTTGGATCACTGGTACAAAAAAAGAAAAAAAAAAAGGAAAGAAAGAATAAAAATGCTTTTTGTTACAAGTGGACTAGATGATTTTGTAATTACATTTCTTTGCAGTTCTGCATTAAGAAATAGTTGTGAGAAACTAGCAACGATAGCTGTTGTATGGACATCAACATAGAAGGGAGCAAATCCCCTGCATGTGTGCACGCCCGTGGGCGCGCCCGGGTGCGCGGTGGGCCTTTCACCTGCTCGAGCAGGGACGCGTGGAGCTTCCAAGGCCCACACATGCGACGGAAGTGAACATCACCGGAAAGTTGCCAGCGCCTTGGAGGCTTTAAGCAAGTCAGGACTCCAGCACAGCCAGATCTGTTCAGCTGGAAGGAGGTCTCCAACCTGAGGGACGACAGAGCGTGTCCTTGGCTCCGGCCCCGCTGGGCCAGCTGAGTGGCCGTGGCAGCACGGCCAGAAGCCATGAGCACACTGGCCGCAGAGACTGCAGAGAGGAGGAGCAGAAGAGGAGCAGGAAGAGGAGCACAGAAGTTAGAGGTGACTGGTCGAGGAGGGTGCAGAGGGTGCGGAGGGACTGAGAGGAGCGAGAAGGCCCAAAGGTGAGAGGGGGTGAGGAAAGAGATGGTGGTGAGGAAGAGGACAGAGATCAAATAAGCGGTAAAATCGCAGCTCAGCAGTGCTGGCCAAGGTGCTTACTGAGTGGGTAGCTCGGCTTATTTTTTTATTATTGTTTTTTAAAAGTTCGATGGGACAGAAAACCCACGACACCCACCCGCACTCGCCCCCTCCACCCAGTCCCTCTTGGTAACCTGCCACCAAGCACAAGGACTTTGGCCCCCAAATTGTGAGCATTGTTTCATTTTTGTGAGCTCCTGGCTGTGGCACGAATACCTGTACAGGTGAGCTGGCTACTCCTGCTCACCATCGCGATGAAGTTGGAGCAGCATTTCTAATTCTGTAGAATGAGAAACTTCGCACATCAAATCTTAACACTTGGAAAAAATAAAATGAAATGTTTAAGTGTGCAATGTTTACAGATTCCAAGGTGTTAAAAAATAAAAATTATTCATACTCTATCTTCTAAGTTCCCTAATCCAAGATAATAAGCACCTACTTTAATACTTTAAAATTTAAATGATTTTACGTGGGAAAAGATCCTTCCAAATTAATCCGTGTTCTGATCACATCTTTTACTGTGACACTGGGCAATTCTAACATCTGCTCTAGCTTTGCAGCATTTTAATTTTAATTTACATTTATTTTTAATTTTCAAAGAATAAAAATAGTTTTAAAAAGTTCTTTGATTTCGGCTATACTGCAGCAGCTATTGTTGGTACTGACGTAATTCCTAGACTGGGGAGTGGCCAGGAGGCTGCCCATCCCTGACTCTGCCTGGGGCTCCGAGCTCGCCACCGAGGCCCTGCTGCACCAGCCTGGACCGGCTTCTTCATGTAATGGGGGCCAGACCTGGCTCCTAAAACGGGGATCTTTAAAAGCTCGTGATGTAGCCGTGGAAGCTGAGCACAGGCAATGCCAGGAAACAATCTTCTCGAAGCCATAGATGACTAGCTTTGGGCGCGGCCTTCCAACACTGCCATCCAGTTGTGGTTCTGAATGACCCAGGGAGGGGAGCGCAAGAGATCCTGCTTCCCACTGATGTCACAAAGGCTGAGGACGCTGAGGGAAGTCACACGTGAATGGCACCTCTCGCGGGAAGTCAGGTCCCTGTCTTCCAGAATTAGGGGCTTCTATGTGCTATTTTCTTAGGTACTGACGCAGCGCCGCGGAAGGCCTGGATTCCGTATCCCAGGAGGCGCAGCTCATGAGACTGCACGTGTAAATCTCTCTACGTGTATAAATGGCACCTGTGGGATTCGTCAGTATCTTTCTTAAGTAGATGTTTATTCTGCTTTTTTTATTCGAAGCAAAAATTTAAAATGGCAGAGACATACTGAGATGAAGTAAGAAGAAGGGCAGACATGGGCTTGGTGTGAGGTGGTTCACAGAAGTTAGAGGTGACTGGTCAGAAAGGCACTTGGCTGGTGCGTGCGGGCTGCAGGGCCCTGGCTGAGGATGCGCCACGTAGCTAGGGATGGTTGGCGTTCCTGGGATTCCGAGTGTACGAGGCCGACAGTTCCCAAGGCTTAAAAGTAAGAAGCACTAGGATTCCATACTGTATTTTCCTTAATTCCAGAGAATAAGGGAGTAAAAAGGTGAAAAAAACAAAAAAAACTTCTAAAATACTTAGCATGTTATTTGCTGTAACATAAGTCACCCAAAGAGTAGTGTAAATGTGTGCCTTGTTTTCTTGGGGTTTATGTAAATTTAGTGTAAATGTGTCTCTGTTCTCATGGGACTCATGTGCCATTGGGGTCCAAATATAAAAATAAATTCCAAAGCTCTCCCTTTCCAAAATAGCCAATGACTTATCTCTAAGCTTGTCTTTAAAACATTTTCCCTTCATAGTTCTAAAAGTTGAAAACTTTCACTGACTTCGCAGAAATACACATTTTCTTTTTTGTATCAGTAGTAATAGCTTCACTGACCAGCCACGATAAGCTACCAGAGAATAAGCCTTTTAATCTTTAATCTCTGGGGTGTTATTTATTTGTTTATTTGTTACTTATATATTTTAATAATTTTATTGAGAAAGAAGTAGCAATGAGATAGTTTCAAAACAGGTTAGTAGTACAGGTACAATAATTAATACATTGCATATTGTTGTCTTTATAGTAGTTATTCCTAGTACAAGATGCAGACATGATATCTTGTATAGATACTATTAGTTTAAAACTTCTTCTCATTGAACTGAGAGAAAATAGATGCATATTTATGCTATTTTGTATACACAGGTACATATATATATTTTTTCCCACTACAAAATGGTCCATTTATATCCCCTTTTTTGTTTATTTTTGTCAGAGATGTGTATTCCATTGCCATTCATGTATTGTAGGTGCGTGAATTCAGCAGAGTAATCCAATATAGTCCAGCGGTCTATAATAGTACAGGTTTATCCGCAAGACTGGCAGTGTCAGAAGTTGTTCACTTGAGCCTTTTACAGCTCAGTTTATTAATATGGCTTTACTTTTTATACTCATGTTTATACTTTTCTGTTGGATGGTTAAGACCAAGATAAAGCAAGACCTATATAACAAAAAATTTAACTTTTGTATTTTTTTATATTTTAGGGAAGGGTCTACAGGGTGTTCAGGGTCTCACTACTAGATCAGACTTGTAGTGATTCTCCTGTTTACAGCCTCCCAAGAGCTGGCATTACAGGTACACACCACCACACCCAGTCTAATCTTTGGAGTTTTAAACTGAAGATCCTAGCTTTTAAAAATAAACAATATTGGGGCCAGGGAGATGGCTCAGTGGAATAAGGGCTTCCCTGGCGAGCGCAAGGGCCTGAGTTCAATCCCCGGTTCCGCCAAAAAAAAAAAAAAAAAAAAAAAAAACAATATAAATATTTAGGCCCCTCCTCCCATGGACACTGCATCTCTTTTCTACAAATACACCCACTTCAGGCTCCGGAGTATGCAGTCCCCAAAGGAAGGGAAGGGAATGTGACACCTACCTCGTGGTACTTCTTTGTGACTTTGCTTGGGACGCACTGACATTCGCTGCAGCCGTGGAGACAGCAGGCGCAGTTCCCCCCACAGCGTTTGACCAGGAGACAGCCTGGCCAGAAAATGGTGTCGGTTCTCTTCAGCTCTTCCCTGATGGACACCGAGAAGTTCCGCGGTGTGCAGCTGTACAGCTTCACCTCCTCCTTGAGAAGGTTCAGATCCACCACTGCTGGGCAGGGAGAGAAGCGAGGAAACATGGACGCTCATGCAGTACTTTTCGTAAAGAAATCCAACTGTTTCATGAGTAGTAGCCCTAACAATATCCCTTTCTTATTTTAACTAGGTTGTAAAGCTAGACAGTTCACAAACTGGACACTGCATTTCACGGTACACAAAGCTGCATTATGACTTGGTGACCGATAAAGACATGCCATTGTGGAAAATGACAGACAGAGCCAACGAGATAGCTGAGAGCCATAAATAGCAAACTTCATAGAGGAAAGAAAGGTCTACACCTTTTAACCTTGGTAAAAAAAAGTAGACAAGGAGGGCATTGGAGAGAAGTCTACCATGTAAAACGATGAATGCTTTGAGTAAAAAACAAATGTAATTTTTAAAAGGGTAATGGGAGTGCAGCATTCCTGAACAATTCCCTGAAGCCAGGCAAGAAAAGCTTCTCTAGTCTGTATGTCAGGAAGAAACAGAAAGTACAGGAAGGGGATGAAGAAGACAGCTGCATGCCCACGCTAAGCAGCGAAGTATGCTTCACTGCGACAGCAAAGGCTGTCAGAAAGCACAGCTCCAAGGGTATTAGGTGTGTGTGCTTTTTGAAATTTAGACTAAGTAGATACTTTTAGTTTCTACCCTCCCCTGCTAAAAGAGGAGGAGATCTCTAATTTGTAACCACTGTCTCCATGTATTTAGCAAGTTATTGAACTATTTTGTGCTTTACTTTCTAAAATACCTACTTGTCAAGGCCAAACACACAAAATATCCTTTCATCAGGTGGTTACGGTAAATCCTCAAAGAGTCATTGTTTTTAACTACAAAAGGATACTCTCTGTCTCAGGAAAACTGTCTCAAAATAACATGCCATGTTTACTATGATTTGACACATGAGTAGTAGTTAATATAGCAGAATAAACACCTCTAATGTAATTTTAATTTCTGCTTTACAGTTTTGTCTTCCTTTAGAAATACCACATTACACAATTATTCAAAAATTTTAAGAGATTCATATTACATACATTCTTCAGGGTTCTTTTGTTATTACATAACAACTATATGGAATGAAATTTGGCATAGTGCACAATTTACCAAAAGGACGTGCACAGCTCAGCACCCCTCAGCATGCCGACGGAGCCCCCGAACCAGACCCCAGTGAGCCGCAGATCATTTTGGCCTCTCTACTGCACAACACTCCGCTCACCAGCCGTGCCGTCCCAAGACTGCCCTGTACATGTAGGTGAACACTGCACTACCATCTCTCTTCATAAATTTTCCCATCCTGGAAATTAATTAATTCATCAATTGATGTCTTTATTTTCATGTAAAATGGATTATGGTCATAGAAACAATAAAGAATTAGCAGATCCAAAGAAGGAAAAGCTGCAAAATGACCTGTCACACCATGCTGCAGTGAAGCTGAAAACCCAGAGTGGAAATACACTCAGAACATAGTGACTTTTCTCTATCGCTATTACTTTTTATCATATATATATATATATATATATATATATATATATTAACTTTTGAATATAAAATATCTCTCTCATCTTTTAGCTGGGGAACAAGAGAAACCTACTCAGTTTAAATTTCAAAGGTCATAAATTCCTACTACATTTCTTGGTGTGCTTTTCCAATGGCTTCTGGACTTGTAATAAAATGTTTCCCTTATATGAAAAAGCTAATACATAAATAAAAGGTTCTTTCCTTTTCTAAGAAGTTTTGTTTTTAATGAAGGTTATCATCTAAACTATAATAAATATGGTTAAATACCTTTACCCTAATATGAGAAACATTCAAAGCATGAATTGAAAGAATATTTTCTGGGGCTAAGGAGATAGCTCAGTAGAATAAGTGCTTGCCTGGCAAGCACAGGGTCCTGAGTTCAATCCCCAGTTCCACAAAAAAAAAAAAAACCAAACCAAAAGAATATCTTCTGATTATGATATTTTCAAATAATAATAACCACCAGGTAAACCTAATTTCAAATATTATACATTTTAAATAATCTTAAGATATCATGATATTAAAAGCCATGTGCTTGTGTTCTTGGCATTGTAATAAATATGATCAAGGTTTGATCATCAAAGTGTCAATTTTACTGTTTCTAAGCAATATATAAAATTATACATCCACAATTGTGAATTACAAACATGTTAACTGTATGACTGAAGAAAACCTAAATCAATTATTGGGAATATACCAAGGCAGACTAATTCAGTGGCTCAATTCAACATTTGCAGCTGAAAATTATTTTTCTGGTTCAACAGAAAAGGTTTTCATTTGAATATAGATTTTCAAAGAAAAAAGTATTTTCTGAAAATGACCCTGTAGAACTTTGAAATATTTAGATGGAAATGAGTTCATTCTTCAAGGACCCTGAAAAAGAAATCATCAGTAACAAAATTAATAAGCACTTGCCTGGCAAGCACAAGGGTCTGAGTTCAATCCCCGGTTCCACAAAAATAAATACATAAATAAAATGAAATAAAATTAATGAGATCATTAGGTTACATGATCTCACACGCTTTTCCGGATCTTATCTGCTGCACTCCCAGTGTATGTGTAGGCTCCACTTTGATTGCTGAAGACGTAGGTGATCTTATGCGACTCTATGTCTTCTTTGCCTGGGCAGAGAGGGGGCAACAGGAACGCTCTGCGGAGCGAGCCACTGGCTGCCCGGTTCCCAGCGCCACTCTAGAGGGGACCGGAGCCCCTAGCTTTCACAAGGAATTCCCCTTCCCCAAACAGTTTTTGATGCTCTATTTCATGAAACTAGAAAATGAAACTGCATGTTCTCTTTAAATGTTTACTTAACCACAACAAAAGCGTAGACAGCTTTCCGAGTGAGGTAAGTTATGATACCTGCCACAATGTGAAAATTCCAACACACTTTCAACTTAGCTTCCACTCATTTATCAGGCTTGACACAAAAGTCAAAAGCCCTTTTTAAAGTGCTAGTTAAGCTTGACTTAGAAAATATCATTTTTCTTCGTTCCTGCAGAACAAGCACGTAATAAAAACTCTAGGCCAGAGGACGAACCAGAAGGCAGAGCAGCAGAGACGAATTAATGCAGACCATGTCGGGCTGAAGCGATAACGGAGGAGCTTAAGCTAGCGTATCACCTTCACAATTTCTACTTCTTGCTCCTAAGGATGGAGGTTCATGCAAGCCTTGTTAAAGTAAGTACTGTGTGCAAAATATTGTATCATTAATTCTCCAGACATTGTGCAGAACTTGTAGACAACAAAAGAAAGAAAACAGGAAAAGCATGATTGTGTTCCAAGACATATTTATGTCCGCTTAACTTTAATAGTAAAGAAGTTTCCTTTTACAAGTTGGAGGTAATAGGGAGCGCAGCCACTGGGCTCTTTTTATCCTTTCTACAATTGCTGCCTCAGACAAGGTGTGCATTCGTTTGTCATGCCAAAGAAAAAAATGTGACCACCTAATCTAAACCATGGTGTCGTGTACAAATTTCACTAGTTCTGTAAGTTGTACTGAGTAAGATAATACTGACATAAACATTACGGCCACATTTTACTTTGTTAGTCTTTCATTCTTTTAAGATACTCAATCCAAGGAGATTGCATTACTGTAATACAGTCCGAGGGTGGTCTTCCTAAGATGAATGTGGTAAGAGGGTGATATGTTTATTCTGGGGGAAATCTGTTCCAATGTCTAATTAGAAGCCTTTAAAAGTTTCACTCCTGTTCCTTTGTACAAGGATTCTCAAGAGGGGGTTGGTTCTGTCTATATAGATGTTACACCACACCTGCATCTTAGTTTATGGAAAGCTCCAAAAATATACACTGCTGTTCTCACACTTACTGTATGCTTAAAATTTAATAGTTTTGGCATACTGCAAAGGCCTTCCACTTGGAAAGTGTTAAATGAATATTTGAAAGATCTGGTTCAGCTCTCAATGCTTTTAAATGCACCCTAGCCTCAGGCCAAATCTTTGAGAAACAGCAAATCTTTGAGAAACAGGCAGTGAGATTTAGGCACAAAGATGTGGCTAGAAGGTAGGATTTTAGGCTAGAATCCAGAAGTCGGCTGTCAAAAAAGTAGATCTGAGCACAGCAGCGTTTTGCTCGCTCCTGGCTCCTCAACAAGCACACGCTAATCGATCTCACACTTGCTAACAAGGGCACTATTCCCGGTGTCTCAGCTTCTCGTGTAGACCTTCTCCTTGGTCCACTCTGTCCAGGAGCAGGAGGGAAGGGAAGGCTTGTAGGTAAGCTATTCATCAAGAGCAAGTCTTAGGAACGTGTAACAGCGCTCAGCATCTGGACGGGACTGGCTGCCCGCGCACTTGAACTTACACTTTGAGTATTGCTGAAAGGAAGCCAGGTCTGCAGGCAGGGCAAAATACCAGAGGGGTGCAAGTCTGAACATGACCCGCTGAGAAGAAAGCTGGGGAGCCGGAGGGCTGTAAATCTGTGCTGGAAAAGGCAGGATCAGATTTCTTTCTGACAAGATTTAGAACAAGCCTGGTGCCATCTGCCCTCGTGAATGGATCCAATTAACTAAACATTGTTCTTTCCGCATGTTCTCCAGCCTGGCATTACCTTCTGCAGAATGACCCTGCGTGCCTTTCAAGGTTCTCACAGACTGAAATGCATTTTTGGGGCCATCCAGCTTTTCTATCACCTTTCCACTTGTGTCTAATAGGAATGCGTGGCATTTTAAAATTCACTAGAAAATCTGGCCAACCTTATTGAAAACTCAGTTAACATTACTTGCAATTTCTCAAGCATGTGGAATTAGGTGGAGTCACCAGTACTTTCACTATTAAAAGGAGGTAGGCAAGCTGTTTGGTCCAAAGTGGTAATTCCAGAAGCAAATTTATATGAAGAAAAACCACCACCCTGTGGGTTTCCTTTAGTTTGTGGTTCTTTTGCTATAGTCCTATTTTGGGGCAATTAACTTTATTCCTTTGTCCTCCCTTACTGTGCTCCACATTGAGAACTTTCTAGGTCTAGGAAGTGTAAAGGAATCTAACTGTGACCCTTGGGGGACAAGGCAATAGTGACTTCTAAAGCTTTCCTTCTCTCTAGTTCCAAATCTCATTTCTTGGCTATCATGATTACCCTTGAATCTATAAATCAACATGCTCCAATGGTAGACTGGAGAAAGCAATGGTTCTTATGAAATGTAATAAAACACACGCATTTCAGATGGCATGTCAGGAGGTAAAAGAATGACTTCAATTTTCTGAAGTATCTCTTAAATTACCAAACCCTCTGAGCTGTATTAAGTGACAGCTTTTGCCTCTGTTGTACTTTCACACACACACACACACACACACACACACACACACACACACACACACACATGTTGAGGTGTTAAGAAAATGGATGCTTTACATACATCTGTCATTGAAGAATTTTAAATTCTCCCCTTTAGGAGCTGTGGCAGGAGATCTTGAAACACTGGCTCTGTCCGAAGAAGGCGCTTACCTTTGGATTTTCTTCCAAAAACAAAAGCCTTGCCAAGGAGTTGCCAGGAAGGCCTGTATAGGTCTTCCAGGTCCAGCTGCCACCTCTCCGGCTCCAGGTACCGAATGAGGTCTTCCAGAGTGCTGAAGGCCGTGACAGCATTATTTAGCAGGTCCAGCGGCAAGGCTGAAGGGGGCAACACCGACGGACTCACAGCCTCTGTGACCTGCCGGATGGAAAACACATCGTCAGCGCCTTTCAAAGTGACAGTGCTGACCTTCTGAAAGAATCCAACAATGCCTGTGGCCAGAAGGCTGCGACTCAACGCAGTGAGGAGGAATCACTGTGCCGATATTTCACATCGGTGAATTCTGATGGATTTTCTGCAAAGCCAAATGAAACTCTTAATTTCCATTCTTCTTTCTGCACTGTGGATGCAGATATGTTCTGCTTACTGAAAACTGTTTCCACTATTCAGTTACGGATGTACAATGAAAAATGAAATATAGTTTTTGCAATTTTTCTTTTATCTATATATTTTTCTTAATATTCCCCAATCTGGGTAATAGCTTGGAAGTTATAAAAGTCAGTGTGAAATGACTTAAAATATTAAAATGAAATAACTCGTAAGAATTAAATTAGAGGAGATGTGTTTCTGACACTGGTGAAAAAGCCTTTAGTTAATATAGACGACCCTAAGTCATCCATGACCAAAATGACAAATTTGTCCACATTTTTCACTCAAAAGATTTAATACAATTGAGACAGAGTGGGAAAATCCTTTGCCAAATTACAGATATGACAACGACAAGAGCAGCAGAGCACACTGAACAGGAAAGGGTCACTTCACAAGTGACCAAGCAAACTCTGAGACAGGAAGCTTGAAATCATGCTAAGGTACAAGCGCAGCTTCACAGATAGAAAGCACGGAAACAAGGAATAATAAAGTTGGGCACATCATGTGCATCTGTTCTACTTCACATTCACAAGAGGAGCCATCACTTTCCCTAGGGAAGGTGAGGAAGAGCAACACCATGTTGCTGGGTTGGGCTGCAGGAGGGAAGCAGGGGCACCGCTCCGGCCTGCAGAACCGGTGCGTGCTGAGGTTCGAGGTTCACACGCCCGTGGCTGGTGCTCAGCTTGGGTCCACAGCCCCTCCTCTGTGCCTGTGGCAGCATTCACACCGACAATCGCCGCAGCCTTGTTTGAAACAGAGATCACTGGAAGCAACCTACCTGCCCGTGTATGGGGCATGCAGTAAAGCATATAACACTAAGTGGCAGGCTTTAAGTTTGTTTGTTTGTTTATTTATTTATTTTTAATGTATTCAGTGAGTACAGGGCCTACAGGGTCTCACTACATAGATCGGACTCCTAGTGATCCTCCAGTTTTCAGCTTCCCAAGCGCTGGGATTATAGGCCCCACCATGCCCAGTCTCAATAGCCGTCTCAGTGTGCCTTGGGGGCAGCGGTGGGGGAGGGGGAGTCTCAGCATACTGGGGATGGAACATTGGTCCCTGAGTCTCCCTAAGAAGGCACTTTAATCTGCTGAGCTATCTGGCTGGTCCAGTGGCAGGCTTCAAACAATTTCTGCAAAAGCAGGGTCTTTTAAAGCTCACCAGGGACCACACTGTTCCAATTATCAATGTGTAGAGAGTTGCATATGAGAACTGAAATTGGAATAGGCAAAAGAAAACATAGAAAAGCTTAAAATAAAACATTTTTGTTCACTGATGTTCATTTATAGCAGTGTTTATAATAAAATTCTAGCTAGAAATCAAATTTATTAATTTAGTTAGTTAGTACTGTTTTGAGACTGGGTCTCACTATGTAGCTCCAAATGGCCCTGAACTCATAGCAGTCCTCCTGACTCAGCCTCCTGCACGATAGGATTGCAGGCACGCACCACCACGTGTCCTAGAAATTAAACTTACAGAAGTGTAATAATTTACTATGCTATTCAAAAAGTGACATAGTGTGCCAGCTTTAAAAATTGTATCTTCAGATATTTTTATTGGTTAAACTTGGTGAAATTCAACAACTATGTAATGATTAGTACTAACTATAGTTTAATAAAACTATGATACATTTCAACATAGCACAATTCTAGTAAGCGTGAGCAGAAACAAAATAAAAAGACCCACAGTTTTCCATGAAGACTACTTATCTACTCTTTAAACCACAGCATGTGATTTTGTTTTTCATATTTTCAATGTTTTCTATAGTAACTATGGATTCCTTTTAGAAGTCAGATTGAATACAATTTTTCATCAGCAAGGACTGTCTCTGCAGCTGTTCCTTCTCATTGTCGTTCTTTGGATACTGAGCTAGACATTAAAGACAACGTCCTGGATTTGGCAGCTTCTAGCCTTGTCCCCTGGTTGTCACACTTCTCCCCTTCCTTCTGAGCTCTATCACTAGTTTAATCTACCTAAGACATGACAGTACCAATCATGTGACCATCCAGGGGATGAGGAAGAGCAGCCCCCAACTTGCTCAGGGCCATCGAGGGTCCCAGATCTGACCTGGGCTCACCTTCCCGTCTCATCCTCTCCTCCCCGCACTAGGCATCTTCCTTCCAAGGCAGCCTGACCTCTTTGCTCACTGCCACACATTTTCACCTGAGGCTGTGACTTCACCATTGCTAGATGCTGCCCTGCACCCAGCACAAGTCCCACACCTGTGGGCCGATAGAAGACTTCATCCTTTCTAATGGCCTTCAAAAAGCCCAGCAGGCCCACGAGGCAGTCCACACACAGAGGCAGGACTGCTGCTATCCTGTACCTGGTGTTGTGTCCACCATTGGAGCCCCTCTCTGCACTGCCCACGGCCTCTGGTCTGAGCAGCAGGAGGCTCCCTGTAAGCTGAAGGGTGGAGCCTGCCTACAATAAGTGTGGCAGGGCCACTGGTTTCACCAGCAGCGTCCACCTGGGCACGGGCATGCTGTCAGAGAGCAGACTCAGGAGAACTGCAGGCAGCAGCTGTGGGGTGGCAGGCCTCCCCTCATTTTTATTTTGAAGGCTTAATTTCATATTGTGGAGGACCTGGTAACAATATTAAGACCAAGAACTATTCTAGTTATGTTACAATGTTTTGTTCTACGACTAGATTGCTAAGTTTTTGAAAAGTAGAAACTAAATCTAGTATGTTTTTATTTACTTTGTAATTGGGCTGACTATGAAACATAAAATTGCTTTGGCACAAAATATATGATGATTGATATAACAGATATAAATAAACAAGGTTTAATAAAGGTTTGCATTTTTTATTTAACCAAACTGGCTCATGAGTTTTATAATGTGAGAAAGTTGGTATGAATTTTTTTTTTTTTACAACAAATTTAAGAAAAAGAAGGGCTGGGGAGATAGCTCAGTGGTCTAAGTGCCTGCTTGGCAAGCACAAGGCCCTGGGTTCCATCCCAGGTACCGCATGCCATGGTTCATCATGCTGGCCACCAGAACTGGGCATGGTGGTGCACGTGCCTATAATCCCAGAGCTGGGGAGGCTGAAACAGGAGGATCAGTATGAGTCTGAGCTGTGTAGTGAGACCCCGAACCAAATAAATAAATAAATAAATAAATAGATAGATAGATAGATAGATAGATAAATACATAAGAATTAAACTAAAACAAGACAAAGTGCATATATCTTTGTAAATAAAATTTAAAAGGCCAGCAACCCTTAAAGAATAATGGAAGCCAGACCCAGTGGCACACACCTGTAACGCTGGCACTCTTGGGTGCCACGGCAGACTCATCATAGAGCAGAGCTCAGGCTGCGCGATCTAGCTCAGGATCAGGTCCTTGGACCTGTGTGTCACAGGAAAGCAAGGCATCTCTGGGCATCACTTATGATTATGGTGATAGGAAAGCTACTGAAAGCTTTACAATACTTTCTTGCACTCAAGAAAGTAAATGGTTGTTAGAAAAGTCACACGTGAGGCATGACTTTCTGAAGTGTCACAGTTCTAGTGTACCTTGTGGGTATGACAGAACATGGCTGGTTGGGCCATTTTCAATTAGACTGGGACCCAAGAATGCCATGCATGCCCTGGCTCCCAAGGCCACTGCAAACTGCCTGAATAGAGAACTCTTTCTGAAACAATCAAAAATGACAACCTAGACCAACTATTATTGAGGTAAAGACTAAGGTATTAATATAAAGAAAGTGACACAAAATGACACTGCAGCACTGAGCACACACTTGTGCCCACTCAGCCCTCACTGATGTCAGGATATATCATTTCCTTACCTGGGACAAAGGTTGGGAGCGAGGCAGCCTATCCCTTGCTCCTGTAGGCATGGACTGGTTGGGGTGGAAAACTGTCAAGCTGCTAAATATTTTAATTTAGCCAAACTCAAAAAATAAAAATACTCCAGTTCTCCACATAGAATTCTCCCTCCCTACTCTTCTCCTTTCTCCTCCCATTCCCCACTGAAGGGAAAATTGGGAAGAGAATTAACACACTGTCTGTGGACTCAAAACATAAACTCCTGGACAGAGCAGATTGAGGAGAAGCCGCTGTGCTTCTGTGAAGACCCTTCTCAGAAGTGCTGCCCCAGCCTTGGACAGGAACAGACAAGCGGTTCACACTCGCAGTTCTGTTTTTCTAGATTAGTCATACACATTTGAGGGGCCACACAGGGAACAATGGAAGAGCAAGAAGAAATGTCCTCCACATTGTTATTTTCGTGTTACAAAATGCCATGTTCAGTACAAGCTAGTGGCTTTTCCCCCTGTAGGTAGGATGGGGAAAATTCTAACAGTATCTTGATACTTAAAGTATTGGACTGTTAAAGTAGTTGGGAAGTATTTATATTTGATGCCTTGGTTTAAATTGGATTTTCTTGTTCTGTATTTTGTGTTTTTTATGCTTGTAGAAACAGACACAAGTGAAAAGCTGTTCTAACTCACCATCCTTGGTCTCCCACCATGGACAGTGACAGGAAGAGAATATCTGGGTGCTCTGTGCAGAGCCACTAGCAGGCGGGGTAAGTCTTGCTGTCCCTGCCTGCTTGAGGGTCGAGGAGCCAGGAGCTGCGCAGGTTGGGCAGGAAGAGAGCCTGGGCAGACACTGCCTCATTGCCAGCCTCTACAGAGCAGTCCAGCCAGGCTAAGCTACTTCTTGTCTCCTCTGACATCTCCATTTACGCACTTCCCTTCTGGTCTCCTCTGGCGTCTCCATTTACGCACTTCCCTTCTGGTCTCCTCTGGCGTCTCCATTTAC